CTCTAGATGGCACACACAGCCTTCACATATCTTCTCTAGATGGCACACACAGCCTTCACATATCTTCTCTAGATGGCACACACAGCCTTCTTGTAATAAAGAACACTAGACAGCACTTCAAGCATTATGCTTGGGGCCATTTTAAATAGCAAGATCATCCACAAAAAGCACAAAGTCTGAAAAACATGAACAAAAAGGACATTTGCTTACAATATGAGGCCTGAAACAAACAAGAATGTCACTTTGTTTGACCCTGTCTGGGAATGTGTGCATTGGGCAACTCATATTTTTCAATGCTCTTCACATCCATAAATGACCGAAAAGACACCCCAAATATTGATTATTGGTTTGGGAGTTACTAATAAATTTTAGCAATTATGGGAATCCACAAATAATGAGTAACTAATTTTTTCTAAAACAAGACCAGATAGACAGTGTCCCCATTTTGCAGATTAGGAAATTGATTAAGGGATTTGAAAATGTAAGTTGAAATTCAGATGGGAACAAAGGCTGTGGTAATGACGCTTGAGCAAAGACTTCTCTGTTGGTATTTTTCTTCCTAGTTTTAGTATACATGCTGCCAAAGTAAGCAAATATTGGTCTCTTTCTTAATCAACTTTATTAAGGCCTAAATTTCACACAGTAAAAGGCACACATTTTAACTGTATGATACTATAAAATATTGATGAACCTAGACACCACCACAAGCAAGATGTAGGACATTTCCATCCCATCAGTGGCTTGTGCGATTTTCCCTGTCCTCCCCCACCCATCACAGATCCATGTTCTGTCCCCATAATTTCTGCCGTTCTTGTGAGTCTCACTTAAATAGAATCATGCAGAACACACTCTTGTATCTGGCTTTCTTCATTCAGCATATTTCAAAATACGTCTGTGTGGTGGCATATATTAGTAGTCCATTTTTTTTTATTGTTGAGTATTTTAGTGGCTGGATATGCCCCACAATTTATTTATTCACCTGTTGATGGACATCTGAGTTGGATTATTTTCAGTTTGGGGCTGTTATGAATAAAATCTCTACCAATATTCAGGTAGAAGTCTTTCTGTGACTATGTGTTTTTGTTCTCAGGTAAATACCTAAGAATGGGATTTCCAGGTCAAATGCTATGATGTATGTTTATATGTATGTTTAGCTTAATAAGAAACTGCTAAACTAGGGGTTCCTGGTGGCTCAGTGGGTTAAGCATCTGCCTGGGTCTCAGTTCATGATCCCAGGGTCCTGGGATTGAGCCCTGCGTCGGTCTCCCTGCTCAGCAGGGAATTTGCTTCTTCCTCAGCCCCTTCCCCCAGTCCTTTGCTCATGCTCTCTCTC